GGTAGCGCGTCCCCCAAATCCACCGGTCGGGCTCCTGCGCAGGTTGGGTTTGATCAGAGCGGCTCGCTGTGAGCCGAGGGCCCCGCAGGCATCGCAGCCCTCGCTACGGAACGGGCCAGCGCCTGTGGGATCGTCTCCTAACGGTTTGGAAGGAGAGGGCTCTTCAGTTCCACTTTTTCACAGCTTTATCTCCATCCTGCACAACTCAAAGCAGACCTCCTCGCCTGCCCGGACCCCACGCAACCTTGCCATCGTGAGCGGGGCTGTGCCGGTTGGCACACGTGGGGCTGGATGGCCTGCACTGCCCAGCGCATCCCCTGGAACAGCCGGAGCTCTTGCTGCAGAGATGAGCGGCTCTGGTAAGCAGGGTTGCAGGGGCTGGTCTCTTTGCTCCAGGAGTTGGGAAACTCAGTGGGAGCTGCTGTTCTCTTGCAGGGAGACAGCACAGAGCCCTCCGACCGCACGCTAAGTGCAAGCGATCGATAAGGCAAATGTACAAACACCAGTTTAACCACTCAATTTACCTACTGAATTGAAATTAACCGTTGGATTTAACCACTCAAGATCTCGGCTTAAATCCATACTAGCTAATGCTGCTCAAGACTCACGGCAAGGTGCTCTTTTCCTTCTCAAAAGCAGAAACTGATAGGCATCTGAGCTGTGCGTAAAATTAAGAGTTAAATTCTGAATATTCTCATGCAGGCTCCTTTGCCACCCTGCTCTGCAATGCTTAACGCATCGCACTCAGCATCCTTCCCACCCTTCCGAGCTAGCCGCGTTCCCTCTCCATTTGCCCCCTGAAACACAGTGTGGAGAAAGGGAAGGGAGAAATGCAACAGCCCGACGTGAAATGCGAGGAACACAGCGGTAGCCATGTGCCAAAAGCTGCAGCGTAAGCGGGACAGTAAGGGGAGGCTGTAGACACCGTTATTTCTCCTGCTGCTATTCCCTTTACCTAGTGGTCTAGATTGCAAGCCCCTTGGGGACTAAACTATTCCCCAAGCATCCTCCTCCTTCCTCAGTCCTTGCTTCGGAGCAACAGTTCAGCAACAAACAAAAAGGCAAAAAGCAACAAGCAATAAACAAAAGCAGCCAGCAGCACGCAGAAAGGTAAATAACGGCTTGACTCTGACTTGTAAAACACTTTAGCAGCTTTAGCTCCATTTTGAAGACAACGAACGTATTTTCCAGAGGCATTTTCCTGTGGCTGGGAACCTTTGGGCTACTGACTTCTGTAAGGGCACAGCCTTACGGAAGGCACTGGCAGTTGGCTTCTACAGCCCAAGCTTCTCAGACGACTTAAGAGTCCTACCATGTATTTCAGGAGAACGAGTGAAACCATTCTTCCCTTTCGCTGAATGCAATTTTACAGAAAAATATTTGCAAACACAAAATGTGCATTTAGTCTGACTGAGGCAATTGATGACTTTGAAAGGAACTCGCAAATGTGCTAAAGGAAAAAAGGGAACCGCTTTAAGCATCAATGCCAGCCATTCTGAAGAAAATATTTTGCTTGCTTTCTTGCTTTTCTGTACGAAGTGATGCATTTTAATTATTTACTGAAATATAGGTTTAGCCCTTCTCCACGTGGAAGCAAAGCTGACTCGATTTATCTTTCTGTATCTCCATGGATGTAGATGCAGCTGCATGAGTGTCTGTATACATTCCCTCCTAACTATGTTTGAACTCATTGCCTGATTTCAGCTGAATTTGACAGAGGTCTCAAAGATAACTAAATTGCTACATTTTTTTTTTTTAAAGCAGGCAGCTGAGTAGTGAAAAGAAAAAATCTTTAAATTCGGCAACTAAAGGAAAGGTTTCAACATGAACGCAGCCCTTATCAGATACCAGAGCACACAGAGCAGAGCTCCAGCTGTAGATGAAGCTACAAACGCTGCTTGAATCACAGGATACAAGTTCATAGAAAACCTGCTTATAGACCTATGTGTTTTAAGAACAGAACTCTCTAAAAATAGTTTAGTCCCATCTGATTTTAATACTATTCTTCTTCTTTTTTTTTTTGGAAGGAAACCCAGTTCCACCCAACTACTTCACGGCCATTTTTCAGTTCAGCTAGAGACTAGAAAAATCCCTTCCTTGCAGAGCTGCACGCAGTGCTCGGGCTCCTGGGTTTGGTGCTCATGTTGCACCGCTTAGAAGCACTTTTTAACAGTCTGTGAGGTCTTTAGGAGCTAGCATTTTTCCATCCCTTACAGAAAATACATTTTAGGCTTATCTTATCCTCTCGCTGGGGTGGAAATCTGCCAGCCTGAAACCTCAGCACAGCAAGAAAGCCGCTTTGCAGACACCTGCACAACGCCTTGCTGTCCTGGGCACTGACTGGGGCAGCGAGGCCACGGTGACGGCCGTGCCCCCAAGCTGCAAGGTGCACAAGGAGAACATATGCTAAATAGCTTATTTTTTAAAGTGCCTCCAAAGTCGAAATTCCCAGCTCCGCTCGGAAATTAAAAGACACAGAAAATTGGTGTGGTTTCTTCCCTAGGGAAACTGGTTTGAATCCCGGCTATAATGGCAGGATCGCAAGCACAGGTTTGTTTGAAGCATCTGCATCGGTAACCCCACAGTTGTGTCCGCCTGGAAAAACATGCTTCCCTGTAAATGAATCGCGTGTATTTTTCAAAAGGTAATCTTTCCTGAGACACCATTGTCATTGCCATTCCTTATTATCTGCGGTAAGAAAAAAATAAAATATGCAGAAGACACAAGCTAATTGCAGGTAATAGTAAGCTGTCTAAAAGAGAACAAAACTCACATATATCTGGTGTACGAGTGGAGGGTATAATCTCATAAAAGCGCAGGGTATTTCTAATTTCTGCCTGGGTAGCTGAATGTTGATTATCACTTATAGTCTCCCAAAAGGGAGAGGTTTTCAAAAGAAATTTCAATGGCATTGAAATGAAATTCAGTTTCAACAAAATCAAAGTTTGTGGCAGCAAACCACAGAGCATTCTGTCATTTCTGTGTATATACATACCGAGAA